CACACCTGAGGGTGGCTCCCGTTAGATTCGGGTAATTCCTGTGACATTCCTGTGTGGGCAGGGAGCGAGGCCTGTCACCACGCTATTAAGGAGGGCAAATCTTCAGGTCAGCCATTCACTTTCATGTTAGGAGGAACATCCTGGCCAGCCCCTGCCCCAGAGACCATGGAATGTGCCTGGTCTCGCACCCAGAGAGTGGGGCAGTGCTGTCCCCGTTTCTCCCTGTGCTCTCTTGGGGAGCTTCAGGTGCTGGGTGCCAAGCCCAAGGCCACTAGAGGGTGCTGTTTCCTTCACCTACCCAGACAAGGGGGTCCTGCAGCCATCAGGGGACTGCAAGCAATCTCACAGGGACATCTGCACTGGGGAGTGCCTGGACAATCACTCCATTTCTGCAAGGCTCAGTTTTCTTAGCTGTGAAATGGCATGACTGCACTTGCCAGGTGGGCGCCGAAGAATAAGAGCAGGTGCTTGTGCCTGGCATGGGAGCCCTCGCTGGTGTGACACCCTCTCAGCTGCTTGGCTGCTCTCTGACCCCTGGGGCTGGGACAAAGTCTGGGGGCCCTGGGCCTTGTTCCTAAGTATGTCTGTGTGGCAGACCTCAGAGGCTGCCGGCAGCCCAGGCCCTTACAGCTGCCCTCAGAGGTGACAGCAGCTGAAGTCTTGTCTTCAGAGAGCGTGTCAGCAGGGTTTTCTGCCCCAATCTGGCAGTCTCTGAGTAGAGTGACTTCAGGGAAGTTGCTCTGTCATTGTCCCACTGCTTCATCAGTAAAACAGGAGCAAAAATGCCTACTGCTCAGGCAGGTGAGATGATTCAAATTACATAAGGTAAAACCTGGAGACTGCACGCTAAGCCTAGCTGTGTTTTAGGAAGGGCCCCTGCCCAAGATGCAGGTGGCACTTTTGTGGGGAGCCACCGAGGGTGTACAGTACGAGGGAGTTGTGCATCCGTGTTTGGGAGGTGCCCGGAAACAGATTCCCTACTCTCAGGTGGTCCTCTGAGCACCCTGGGGTTTTACCATGTGGCCTTGGGGAGGAAACACTGCTGCATCTTGGAAATAGGAACAGCACATGTAAGGGACACTGCTCTGTTCACCACATCCTGTGTCGCCTGGCTCCAAAGGAGAAACGGACACATTCTCATTGAAGCTCCTCACCACCACCTTGGAGGCCTTTCCAGGACTCCGGAGGTCCCTGGAAGCCACCTCCTTTGCTTACTTGAGCCTGCCCTTCTTCCTCCTTGCCCTGGGCTTTTGCCTTGGCCGCGCCCTCTGCCTGCTCCCATCCACTGTGGACCTGTGTCCCTGCTGCAGCACACTTTCTGAGTCTCCTCCAGGGCTGGGAGTTCCAGGGTGACAGGCAGGGACTCTGTCTTGTTCAGCTCGGACTGCCCATCAGGACAGCCACGAGGACGGGAGCCTGCAGCTAATACTCTGGGGCGAGTTTAAGGAAGGCGTGTCTGCTCTGCGCCTGTGGTGAATGAGGGATCCGGGGTCCGGGAGGGTGGAGAGCGTGCGCCAGGGTGGGCGTGGGAGACGGGCGCGCGGGGTTCGCGCTGGGTGCAGCTCCGCAGCCGGTGACGTCTGGGGAGGGCGCTGGCGGCTCAGCTCTCTGCAGCCTGCGCCGCCCAGCAGGTTACCGCGCGCCCGAGGGCTGGGTCCAGAGCGCAGACCCGGGGCGCAGCTAGAGGGACACGGGCCGAACACCGGGAAGCCGAGAGCGCTGCTTCCTGCCCGGCTTGGATGCGGGGCTCTGGGCGGGCTTCCTAGAATCCACAGCGGGCCAGAGAGCATCCTGCCACTCCTGTGGACTCTGGTGGCGGTGCCTTAGTCTCTCCGCCTGAGACGTGCTCGTAGGAAGATACCTTGCACTGCGTCTGGCATCCCAGCAGGTGAGAGGCGCCTGAAGGGTCTGGGTGGTGAGCGGTAGGACAGTGGCTGTGTGCAGAGATCCGGGAAACAAGGCAGCTCTCCCACTCCTAGCTCACTGGCACAGAACAATTCGGGGCTCTTTAGTTTCCTCAGCCTGAGGGAAGAGGGCTGCCCGGCATCCCCCGGGACGCTGGGCTGACCTTGCATGATAATTTGACCCCCTCCCCAGGACACCCACCCCCGGGTGTCCCCAAGGAGCCCAGGACCCCTGTTTCTCACTGGTCTGTGGGGCCCCAGCCCAACAGCCCAGGGGAGTGGGTGTGATCACCGGAAGTGATCCAGGAGTAGGGGTCCAGACTGGAGGCTGCAAGAGGAAGTACAGGTGAAGCTTTTTGAAGGGACAGACACTGTGCTGTCCCATTCCTTCATGCCTGCTCTCTCTCCAGGGTGCTGTGCTCTTCTGCTATGCCACTGAGGGTCCATGCTGCTGGGGAACCCCTTGCCCAGGTTGGCTTGGGAAGGACTGGGATGGTGGCCCCTTAGGTAGGTAAAGTGAGGGTAAAGGGTAAAGGGACCTAATACTTGACAAATGCTGATCTTGCACCTGTTCTGTACCAGGGTGGCAACTCTACCTCCCAAGAGGTAGCAGAGAAAGCTGCTGAACGGTTCCTGGTCCATCAGTCATGCTCTTTACTATAGAAGCAAGATAGGGCTAACCCGCTAACTGGAAAGGGTGCTGCGGGAGGGGAGCTCACGTCTCAGCTTCACACTGGCTGCAGTCCCTCCTCCATCCTCTGACCTGGGAGGGAGCCAGGTCGCCTTGCTGGCAGGTGTTACTCACCTTTACCTCTGGGAGATGGCAGAGCTGGGGTTGGGACCCAGGATAACCAAGTAGTCTGCTGGGCTGTGTAGGACCCTGGTGTCCTACTCTGCTCTTTTTCTCCACTGCTTTTTGATGTCAGGGTTCCTCAGGTGACCTGAGAGCCAGGCCCATAGCCCATTCATGGGTGAAGAGTCCTGTAGTTGCCAGGTGACCTGATCCCTGCACCCATGTGATCCACCTGCAGCCATGCCTAACCTTGGACCACTTGGTTCTGGAAGCCTAGGCTGCATTGTGCACATGATGCCCCTGTACCTTGAACTCCCTCCTCGCCTCTGTCCCTTTGGACAGGTGACTCCTCATCAGCCTTTGAGCCCCACATCAGTGTCACCTCTTGCCTTGAACCCACTCTGCTCCTTCTCTAATCTCTCCACTCACCCTGTTTGGGCCATGGCATTATGGCTGGTAGACCAGCTGTGTGGCTGGTGGTCAGTTTCTCTGGCTGGGGAGGCCCAGGGCTGTAAAAGTCATGTCTGCAGCTCTTGCCTCTAGTCGAGGATATGGCACCTGTTTGAGTGGATGGATGGATGGATGAAGCACTGCGTGTTGGGGGCGCCTCCCGGCCTAGTGCCTCCTCTGACAAAGATGCAGCTGCTGGTGAGGAATGGCCAGCTGAGGGTCAGCCACAGCCTCCAGTGTCTGTCCTGTTTGTCATGTCTGGGGCCCGTGTACCTGCCATAGACTCAGGCAGCTCTGCTTGCTGTTTGCCTTAACCCTGGATCTTGTGTCTGGCCTGGTGTATTTCATCTCATCACGTGTGGCCCCAAGTGGCCCTTTTCCTGGCCAGGAGATTGTGATGCTGGTGAAACTTTCCTGACTATTGAGATCTGGCAGCCTAAATAACCAGACTAAACTATCAGGCAAATTCAAGACCCAGCTCTGTATGTCAGATGTCCAATGAGTGATGTTTATGACAGCTCATGAATAGATTTACTGATCTCTGGTTCATTTGGTCTTTTCTGTAAAAACTGTCTCTAGCATGGCACTTGATCATGAAGAGGAGCAGGCATGGCTGGTGTATGGGAGTTAAATAATGTTTCAAATAGGGTATTCTGCTGTACAGAGCGCTTCTTAAAATAGGGGCCAACAACCACAGGCCATCATGCCCAATAGGGGCTTCAGAACCCCACAGGTCACCTGTCAAAATACATCCTGGACTCAATTGGCTTCCAAGGCCTTGGAATCTGCACTTCATCGCACTCCTGGGATGACACTGATGTTCACTGCAGCCTGAGGACTATGACTGGAGGGCCAGGGATGTGGGTCTCATCAAATGTCTATTATTGTTATTCAGCTCAAGCCCCCTGGAGTCCTGGTTGCATTCAATCTTGACAGAGGGTCCTCATGCTGAGAGGCCTCGGGGGAAAGGACAGCCTGTATCAGGGCATGGAAGCCTGGAAAGTCTGGTGTGGGCTTGCATCAGGTGACCTGAGCTGGGGTAGTTTCACAGAGGGTGATGTTGTCCCCTTTCCTTGGAAGCCATGTGTGTGCACACAGGCAGCAGGAAGAAGCTGGTGTGGTCATGTGCCAGTCTTTCCATTCCTGCAGTTCTTGCCTTTGCTCCGTGGCACCTGAGAAGCAAGGCTGGCAGGGGAGGTAGGGGCCGAGGCCAAGGGTGCCTGGTGTGTCCGGCTCCAAAGCTTGGGTTCCATGGGTGCCTGGAAGACTCGTACATTCACTACAGAGTGGAATTTCTTGCTATCTCTGTTTGAATAAGACATGACGGAGGACTTTCAATTCTGCCTACGATGCTCCAACTTCTTTATCAGCAGAACAGCTTTGAGTTCTTAGGTCAGAGGGACTCTGTGGAACATGATTTGGCAACAGACAGACCTCAGTTTTATCTGGGCCCCATTACTTACTGGCTGTGTGACAGTGCTCAAGTTGTTTTACATCTCAGAGTCATCAATTCCTTGTTGAGTAAGTGGGCTAAGAGTGCCTGCTCTCAGAGTAAAGTAGCTACAACCTGTGATGTGCTGAGCACCACCCTGGCATCCAGCAAGTGCTTCCTATAGGTAGTAATTATTGGATGCCAGTTTCTGACCCTAAGTCTTAGGTGACAGCTCCAATTGCCTCTGGGTGATGGCCTTGGGGAGGAAGTAGTCAAGAGCCCTGGCCCTGGCCCCTGGTCTTTCCCGACTCCATCCTGGACACAAGATGATCCTGAGTCTCACTGGTCTGTTTGTGTTGCAGGTGTCACCTCTGAAATGTGCCCTTAGTTCAAGAGCTTCTGGAAGCTTCTCACTGCCACCATGGATGCCTCGCCCTTCCTGGCCTCGCTGTTCCCCAGAGCCCCACACAGGGAAAACAGCAGCAAGCCTCAGGGCATCCTGTTCAACTTCTCTGACCACTGCCAGGATTCGGGGGACCTTATGGGCTTTATTGTCACCTCCTACACCATCGAGACAATTGTGGGGGTCTTGGGGAACCTCTGCTTGATCTGCGTGACCCTGAGGCAGAAGGAGAAGACGAATGTGACCAGCCTGCTCATCGCCAACCTGGCCTTCTCCGACTTCCTTATGTGTCTCATCTGCCAGCCACTCACGGTCATCTACACCATCATGGACTACTGGATCTTTGGCGAGGCACTTTGCAAGATGTCAGCCTTCATCCAGTGCATGTCGGTGATGGTCTCCATCCTCTCGCTTGTCCTCGTGGCCCTGGAAAGGCACCAGCTTATTATTAACCCGACAGGTTGGAAGCCCAGCATCCCTCAGGCCTACCTGGGTATTGTGGTCATCTGGCTCATCGCCTGTGTCCTCTCCCTGCCCTTTCTGGCCAACAGCATCCTGGAGAATGTCTTCCACAAGAACCACTCCAAGGCTCTGGCATTTCTGGAGGACAAGGTGGCCTGTAAGGAGTCCTGGCCTGTGGATCACCACCGTATCATCTATACCACCTTCCTGCTGCTCTTCCAGTACTGCATCCCGCTGGCTTTCATCCTTGTCTGCTACGTGCGAATCTCCCGGCGCCTGAGGAGACAGGGGCGCGTGTTCTGCAAGACCTCGAGAGCTGGGCAGATGAAGAGGATCAATGGGGTGCTCGTGGCGATGGTGGGTGCCTTCGCAGTGCTCTGGCTGCCACTGCACGTGTTCAACAGCCTGGAAGACTGGCACCCTGAGGCCATCCCAGTCTGCCATGGCAACCTCATCTTCCTGGTGTGCCACTTGCTTGCCATGGCCTCTACCTGTGTCAACCCCTTCATCTATGGCTTTCTCAACACCAACTTGAAGAAGGAGGTCAAGGCCCTGGTGCTGACCTGCCAGCAGAGCCCACCGCTGGAGGAGTCTGAGCACCTGCCCCTGTCCACTGTGCACACGGAAATCTCCAAAGGGTCTCTGCGGTTAAGTGGCAGGTCCAACCCCATTTAGCCAGTTCCAAGGCTCGTCCCTGCTGTGTCACTTACCGGGACTTTTCCCTTAACCCAGTGGGTATGCTGCAACCTGGCGGTGGTGTTCCAGATTAACTGTTTTTTGGGGCCCAGAAAGAGCCTGTTTTTCGCATCCTCCGTTATGTGAAGTCTGAGATCAGATGGTTCAGCTCCTTGTTCCTTGGAGAATTCTGAGCCCAGATTCTGCAGGTCACAGTGAACCTGGCAGCTGGAGCTGCAGATTGCAGGGCTGGAGATGTCTGCCCAGCACACACAGGGTTCACTGAGAATTCAGTGGCAGATGCCTGGCCTGGGAAGCCAGGGACTTAGCCCCCACCAGTGAGACCTTGAGGTCACTGCGGGTGAGAGAGGGGGCACTTGGAGCCAGAGCTCTGGCCGCACTTCCTAAGCAGTGGGAATCTGTGCAGGCAGGGCTGTGGGCTTCCAGTGGAGGGGACGGATCTCTAGTTGCAGGTCCTCAGGCCCCACCACTGGAGTCCATGGCTCACATCCCACCGCATGCTGTGTCTGCCACCTTGTATGGAAACCAGCCTGTGCATGTCTCTGCTTGATGTGATGGTGAGAACCTTGAGAGTGACATCCAAAATGGCACAGGGCTCATGTCCTTCATGCTTAGCACTGGCTCCAGCACAGGGAGAGAGCTCAAGAAAAGCTTGTTGTCATGAATTGTAGGTTAAGGTGCCACTCACTATTATATTGGGCTCCATGGTCCTGGTCTTCAAAGTGTCATTGTATGTGGGCCCCACTCCCATCCTCACAGAGAAGGAAATGTCAGCTTGCTCCCTTGGGATGTGCCATCTGGCTCTACCTGCTTAGCCCACCCTCCTGTGAAGTGGACCATGGCTGGGTCATCGGTGCAGGGCATGCAGGCACTGGGCCCTTGGGGTCTCCCTGAGAGGCCACCAATACCAGGCCTACACAGAAGTCACGTAAAGGGTCAGGCAGAAGCCAATGGAACAGTTTCATCTGAGGGGCTGTCTGGCTTGACTCTGATTAAGAACCTGTGCAGGTCACACCTGAGACAAGGACATCACCCATGAGGCCCCTGCTCCCTTCCTGGAGCTTTTTGTCTCATGTCAGCTTTTGGTCACAACTGCCACTCAATTCCTTTCTTCACTTTTATCCTGGATTTTGAGGTGATTCTCTTAGATACAGCTTTTGCTTGTCTTCTAGGATAGTCTGTTGCCGACTGCCCTAGGTGATTATGTACCAGCCAGCAAAGCCCAGACTCTGGGACCCATGTCAGCAAGATGTCCAGGCTCCAAGCTCCCTAAACAATTGGGGCTTTAGGTCCCTTGGGATATGACACAAGTATTTGGAGCTTGCTTCTCATTTTAGTCTTAGTGGTGCCAAGTTGCTTGGGCAAAAGAGGCTTTAGAATGCCAGGCAGGAGGTCCTGACTGGGTGTCTGTGAGGGTACTCAGCACGAGGAATTGAGGCAGTGGGTGGAAGCCTCACTGAGCACCTGCCATGCTCCTTTCCCCTTGCTTAGGTTGACACAGCCCACCTGGATGGCTGTGTCCTGCTCCTGGTTCCTAATGACCCTTGCGGTTTCTTGGTTATCAGCTTCTCAGGAGCTTGCTACCCAAAATATGGTGAGGGTACCAGCAGCCCCAGCATCACCCAGCAGCACCTGTTAGATGTGTGGACTCCTTGTTGCCATTGCAGATCTACTAAATCAAAGCTCACATTTTATCAAGCTCTCCAGGCTAATTGTACATATATTAAAGTCCAGAAGTGCTGCTCTAGGAAACGGATTGCCTGGAGCCTGGGGCACCACCCTGGGGTTATTAGTGAGCTGTCATATCCTTATTTCTGAACATGTCTTTACATTTGTCCTTGCTGAAAAAGGACACCCAATTCTGGTTGTTTGTCTCATCTCTAGCTGTGTGTGGACATACTTCCTGAGATGCATTCCTTCAGTAGATATTTGCCAAGTGCGTAGTTCATGAAGTTCCATTCCTAAGGAACATGCCTTTTGGCATTCTGCTATGTTCCACTTAAAACTGTATCCAGTTTCCCATCTTGCTGGATGTAGTTTTTGGTAGTTGCTTAAGAGTTTAAAAACTGCTCCACAGCAAGTTGGCGCTTCTCAGTTGAGTCTATCTGTTGCCCAGAAAATCAACCCTGTGCCAACTTCTGTGGGAGGCAACCATCTTGACGAAGAACAAAAGGCTGGGGTTGGAGCCCACATACACGCAGCCTGCCCAGGAACCCTCAGGTTGCAAAACCTTATCAAATCCTGCTGGGGAGGCCTTACATTTTCCCTGACTCTAGCCCTTATGTTTTAAAGAAATGATGCTGACTTGTTTTTCCTGTCATAAAATTAAATCATATTAGTCCTTAAAAATGCAATACATACAAAAATAAAGTGAAAATAAAAAGGAAAGCACTTTCCACTCCTATCTTGGAATCCACCATTCGAAGGTAATCACTGTTTATATTTTGGACATTATTTTTTGTTTAGTTTGTATAAGTGTAATCATGTATGCACATGCCTTTAAAAACGGTTGTGTTCATACTGTGTGTATATTGGTACTTACTATCCATTTGGAGATTATTTCATATCTTTTTTATTTTATTTTGTAAGAATTTTTATTCATTCATTTTATTAAACGAGTGTATCAGACACTATGTTAGTTGCTGGGAAATAGTAGTCAATAAATTAGACATGGTCCATATTTTATGAAGCATTGGCTAGATAGATCTTGTGTCCTTCTTCATTGTCTATTGTACCATGGTAAGGGGTTTCTAGATCTATTACATAGAATATTGCATTTGGGATGATTCTCTTAGGAGAGATTTCCAGAAGTGGAATTAATGGGCTAAATGATTTAGACACTTTTTGAGGCTCTTGATTTCCAGAGGGGCTGGAACAACTTGCCTTCCCTAAATAGTGTGCTTCCTTCTACCCAGGCCATGTTGAGGATTCACAGTTAACCAACAGACCTAGGTCTGGATTCCCCAGCCCAGTGGAGGCCTCATCTCTTGCCTCTGGGCCGACCATGCGCTGCGGGCACTGACCTCCTCAAGGCCAGACTTTGTCTTCTATGGAAACATCAGGGGCTCTCCATTGCCTTTAAGATGGCAGGGCCATGTAAATCAGCTTCTAAATGGGATTCTTGAGCATGGAAGAGGGCACTATTACTTATTACCCTATGACAGTGGGCAAAACTACCCCAGTAAACCGGAATGAGCAGTCATCCTACTGTAGATAAGTGCAATCCCTTTAACACAGCTTGAGCACAGCAATCTTCAGTATCTGGCCCTGGCTAACCTTTCCAGTCCTTTTACATCCTGCTCATATCACATGTGGTCTAAGCACAATGGACCTGCAGTTCCCCAGCGTGCCTGGGCTTTACTCTCTCTGTACATTGGCTCCTGCCATTTCCTCCTCCAGCTCCACCCATTCCCATCCTCCACCAGTCTGTAGTACCCTCCTTACCCGTTGGAGTGGGTCTCAGTCCTACTCTTCCATCAAAACACGGGACCAGTGGCACCATTCATTATGGCATTTGTCCAGTAGACAGTTAGAATGCCTTATGATGGATCAGGTGCATGGCAGACAAAACGGGAGATTTCCTGTTTCTCAGAGAATGTGATTTATGAATGGATAATGACTGGTCCTCCAGTTGTGTGCCGGGGGCCCACCGTGCTATGAGGTTGAAAAGAGGCACCCATTGCCCCATAGGGCTGTGAACTCCTTGAGAGCCAACCCCAAGGGCCCATCTTACACCCCTCTGACTTGCCCTTGGAGACAGCAAACTCTTAACAAACATTTTCCCAGTGAAGAATTCATATTCAAGAATCTTATTTAGTCTGAAGAGACTTCTGACAAGTAGTTCAAAGTTCTCCACAAATGTGTGTGGGATCAATCAAAGGGGAACCTGAATTTCCATAATCTTAGAGACGCTCCAGGTAAGTGGCCCTTCACCTATGTTCTGTGACTTTGAGGAGGTGGTAGGGGGTGTGCTGTGCAATGGTGGCCTTGAAGCTTCTCATGTTTAAATGTCTCTGCCTACTTGAAACTCACTCCCTCTAACTCTGAAAACAGTTTATCAGTACAATTGAGTGCCAGCCCAAAGCTCTCTTAAAATACATATCCTTTCATTCATGAAGCTGTGAATGGGGCTTTCAGTTACCCATTCTTCTGGAAAGAAAACTTCCAAGGAAACCAGTCTGGAAAGGGCATGCATTTGGAACTAAGCCCTCCAGCTGGCTGGGGCAGGAGCCAAGATAGCCACATCTCTCTAGCCAGCAGTGTGCTTTGTGATGATCAGCAACCTGTGCATCTTGTAACTGTCATCTGTTTCCCTTCTGAGTTTCATGGGAATGCTGTGTCTACCCAGGCTTTCCAAAGAGAAGATTTCAAAGGCAAGTACCTTTCCTTATGGAAGGACCCACCTCTTCAGCACACATATGTGCAGCAGGTGGGAGACTTGTGTCTGAACTGGCTAGCTGTGAGTGCTTGTCTTTCCCCCCGGTTCCTGGGCGCTGTCAAAGCATAATGCCATTGGGAATTGGACCTTGGTTGTGTACTGATGGAAGAAATACTGAGGTTTCCTATTGCTACATGCAGCTGTGCAGAAGCAATGCTCTATTACACCTTTGTTTATTAGGTAGCCTTAAGACAGATGTAATGTGGAAGAGGGAAGGAGATGTATAGAGCAAGGGATGAGTAGCCTGGATACAGAGTGGGACTCTGTATTCCTCCTCCCTCTTCCTCCATCCCAGCATCCTTGTCTGGAAAACCATTTCATTCCATCATCTTGATTCTCAGTCCTTCAGAAACTGAATTTGTGGCTTACCTTTTTGTCTCTTGGAGAAACAAACAACATTCTTTCCACAATTAAATCTTACTTGTGACGAGTGGACATTTCAGGTAACCAACTTGGGGAGTGATGATCGCAGTCTCACTTCCCCAAGCGTTTTCTGTGCAAGTGTCAGTGTCCACTCCATTTGGAGCTTCCCGAGTCTGTG